TCCAAAACTTTTTCTTTTTTTAAAAAAATTTGTTTAAAAATTCACCCACTCTCTCATTTGCTCTTTTTTACATTGCTTCACCACTCTCTTTAACCCCTCTCTTTTTCTCCCTATACTCTTCCCTCCTTTCATCATTCTACTTTGTAAAACTTCTCATATGCTAATTTTTCTCCCCTTTTTACTCTCTTCACACATCTTCCCCAATCCTCCTCTTCCCCCCCCGCACCCACTTTTCCCGTAACCAAAACTTCTTGAACACTCTAACACTACATTTTAAACCTACCCCCTACCTCTTCGACCCATTGCCTATGCTTCATTAGCCCCTCTATCCTTTTCCCCAAAAGCTGTTTTTTCTTTCCCCCAATCCTCCTTTTTGTTTATAAACCTTCACCTCTCTTTCCCTGGGGCTTCTTTTCTCCTGGGATCCCATCTACCTTTTTCTCTCAGTGTACTACAACTAGAAAGTGATCTGATATATTTTTCCCCCTCTATAAACGGGACATCCTAAAAGTCTACTCAACAGTTTTTTTATCAAACCAATACAAAAACCCCAAAAAAACAAATTTTATTTCGCCCTAAAACAATATCTTGTATATTTATTTACCCCCTTTTTCCCCTTTAAAATTGTATTACCTATAACTAAACCCCTTTTCTTTTACAAATTTTCAAGAAATAAAAAACATATTTTTCAAATATTATTATTATTATTATTACAAAAATTTCCTATGTACTAATATTAATTTTATTAAAAACTTTTAATATAATAATCTTTCCCCATAAATTATTTTTTTTTTTTTTTTTTTTTTTTTTTTACCTTAAAAAATTGTTGTCTTAATGTAGAGGGGGAGGTGAGTAAACAAGTTTAAAAAATGAATGAACGAGAGAGAAAAAGAGAGGTAAAAGGTTTGGTGATTTAGTAAACAAACTTGTTGTTGTTGTTGTTACCCGGCCGGGCACGAATGGGGGTTTTCACTCTGTAAGCCCGGGCCAAAAAACATCTCATTATTATATTTTTTTTAACAAACTGGCCCATTTCCCCCCAAGGCAAGGGGGGGCCCGAAAAAGAAAAAACTTTCCCCCCCATATTCACTCCATCACTGTTTGCCCGAAGGGTGCTTTACCCTCAGTTTTTTTAAAATGCAAAAAATTAAAAAAAAACCCCCCCTTCAAGTGCAGGCACTGTACTTCCCATCTCCAGGCTCAGCCCGGCCCTGCCGGTTTCCTGAATCCCTTCATAAAGTTACTTTTTCACACTCAACAGCCGTCAAGTATTTAAACCTTTTGTCCCAGTCACTCCCCTATCAAAAAAGCTCACGCATGCCGTGGAAGCCCAAAGCCCCCCCAAAACCTTTCCTGGGCCGCCCCCTACCCCCTTCCTTCCACTACAGATGATACATCTTGAAGTCATTCTGTTTCGCTCCATTCTTCTACATGCCCGAACCACCCCCAAAAACCCCTTTCTCAGCCCTCTGGACAACTTTTTTGGTAATCCCCCCCCCCCCTAACTTCCAAACTCGATTTTTCTGCATTATATTCACACCCCATTGCCCTAGACATGACATCTCCCTGTCTCCAGCCTTTTCCTCGCTGCAACATTCATCACCCAGCTTCACACCCATATAAGAGCATTGGAAAATTTACTTCTACATTCCCCTCTTTGCCTCCAGGACAAAAATTTTTGTTCCACAGACTCCTAGTGCACCCCACCCTTTTCCCCCCCATCAATTCTATGTCACCTAAACTTTATAGACCCCCCCGCTGACACGTCCACTCCCCAAAAATTGAATACATTCACCTCCCCCCTACTCCTCCCCCCCAATCTGATATCCATCTTTCATAAAAAAGTAAATAAAAAAATGGAGTTTGTGGGAAAATTGGGGCCCATGTTTTTGCCACTGGTCATTTTTTGGGGCAACTTCCCCGGCTCTGTATCTCGGGGGTTGATCAAAATTTTTTTTTTTTTTTTTGTTTTTGTTTTATTACCTTCACAAAAATTTATCTTTTAAATTTTTAAGAATTTTTTTTTTTTTTCAAAATTTTGGGGCAATGAGGTACCCTTGAATTTGGCCTTGGACCTGAGAGGGTTTTTAGTATAAAAAAAAATTTTTTTTATATGTTATGTAACATTTTTTTTACAATTTTTGAAGGAAAAAATAATAGATGGATTAATGAAAGCTTTGTTAACGTAAAAAAAGACATTTAATGGTCCCCAAGAGTGATTATTATTATACATTACGTAATGTTTTCCCTCCCCCCTGGCAAAACCCCACCTCCTAGCATAAAACGAAACAGAAAAATTTTTTTTATAATTTTAAAAAATTAATTTAAAAAACAATTAGAAAATTAACATTAATTCCCAAATGATTAAAAAATAATAGGGGATGTTCAAAGAATGAAACAAAAAAAGGGGGTGCGGCCGTATTTGAAAGACCCCGCCTTATAGAAAGTTTTGGTCATAATTTGAGATCGCCACATTAGCGGAACGCCATAAGGCGAAATGCCAAAAAGTGGGGCCCTACTGTATAAAAAAAAGGAAAAGGTTACAAATAGACTAAAAAAAATAAAATGCTCTCATTTTATAACAGATGGAAGAGCATAAGACAAAACCACATACACCATTTATCTTTCCCATCTTTGTGAAGAAATTTTGAAGAACAAATGCATTTGAATCCACTCCTAGTTGTCCACAATGAAAAATGAATGACTAAGACATTCACACAGCTGCTCCACGGAAACAATGACTGGGACAGCAAGTACCCTTAATGAGGATGTGTTCTAATTCACTGACCCTAATATGACTGGGCAATGGAGGGGGAGGGGGGCTGCTTTAAACAAAATTTACCAGTAGGGAAACTACACTATTGTTTCTCAAAAGTAGGACTGGTGGTAAAGATAAAACTTAAAACAGCATACTTAACCTCCAGTAGCAGCAGCTTACTGATGATCAGTAAAGGGAAATAACATTATGGCAATGAAGAGGTTTGACAGCATTACAACAATTAAATTCAGCTTATTTATTGATAATTACCTACATTTCATTAAAAACCCAATACAGCTTTTTTTTTTTATTTGACATGTAAAACAGTCTGAACGTCATTCAATATTAAAAATTTCAGGATCAGAAATCTTTCAGAAAAAAATCTAATTATGAGATACCTTATTAAAATTAAAATATTTTGATAATCTGGATCAATCTTTATTTTGGAGATTATTTTAAATTTAAAATATAAAAAACAAAAGAATATTGTAATTGTAACTGAGAACTGCTCTTATCTGGTAAATGAAAAAATTTCAGGCATTTTTTTTTTTTCAACAAGTCGGCTGTCTCCCACAGAGGCAGGGTGACCCAAAAAGAAAGAAAATCCCCAAAAAGAAAATACTTCATCATCAATCAACACTTTCACCTCACTCACACATAATAACTGTTTTTGCAGAGGTGCTCAGAACAAAACAGTTTAGAAGCATATACGTATAAAGATACACAACATATCCCTCCAAACTGCTAATATCCCGAACCCCTCCTTTAGAGTGCAGGCATTGTACTTCCCATTTCCAGGATTCAAGTCCGGCTATATAAAAATAACTGGTTTCCCTGAATCCCTTCACTAAATATTACCCTGCTCACACTCCAACAGATCGTCAGGTCCCAAATACCATTCGTCTCCATTCACTCCTATCGAACACGCTCATGCACGCCTGCTGGTAGTCCAAGCCCCTCGCCCACAAAACCTTCCTTATCCCTTCCTTCCAACCTTTCCGAGGACGACCCCTACCCCGCCTTCCTTCTCCTACAGATTTAAATGCTCTCCATGTCATTCTACTTTGATCCATTCCCTCTAAATGACCAAACCACCTCAACAACCCCTCTTCAGCCCTCTGACTAATACTTTTATTACTCCACACCTTCTCCTAATTTCCACACTCCGAATTTTCTGCATAATATTTACACCACACATTGCCTTTAGATAGGACATCTCCATTGCCTCCAACCGCCTCCTCGCTGCTGCATTCACAACCCGAGCTTCACACCCATATAAGAGTGTTGGTACTACTATACTTTCATACATTCCCTTCTTTGCCTCCATAGATAACGTTTTTTGACTCCACATATACCTCAACGCACCACTCACCTTTTTTCCCTCATCAATTCTATGATTAACCTCATCCTTCATAAATCCATCCGCCGACACATCAACTCCCAAGTATCTGAAAACATTCACTTCTCCCATACTCCTCCTCCCCAATTTGATATCCAATTTTTCTTTATCTAAATCATTTGATACCCTCATCACCTTACTCTTTTCTATGTTCACTTTCAACTTTCTACCTTTACACACACACACCCAAACTCATCCACTAACCTTTGCAATTTTTCTTTAGAATCTCCCATAAGCACAGTATCATCAGCAAAAAGTAACTGTGTCAATTTCCATTTTGTATTTGATTCCCCATAATTTAATCCCACCCCTCTCCCGAACACCCTAGCATTTACTTCTTTTACAACCCCATCTATAAATATATTAACCATGGTGACATTACACATCCCTGTCTAAGACCTACTTTTACCGGGAAATAGTCTCCCTCTCTTCTACACACCCTAACCTGAGCCTCACTATCCTCATAAAAACTCTTTACATCATTTAGTAACTTACCACCTTTTCCATATACTTGCAACATTTGCGACATTGCTCCCCTATCCTCTCTATCATATGCCTTTTCTAAATCCATAAATGCAATAAAAACTTCCCTACTTTTATCTAAATATGTAAACACTTGATCTACACATCCCCTACCCACTCTGAAACCTCCTTGCTCATCCGCAATCCTACATTCTGTCTTACCTCTAATTCTTTCAATAATAACCCTACTTTAAATAAATACATTTTCTGAATACTAAAGAAAACTGTATACATGAAGTTGTGTATACAGTATATCATGGCAACATTTTACCACCTGCCTCAATTATTTAAAAACATATCAAAGAAAAAGTTGGCATTTACCAAAATAATCTGAAGTACCAAGCCTGCCAACTTCCACAGGTTCATCGTCAGGGGTGCGAGCCTGCATGACAACTGCAGTGCCCTCCACGATGATATAGAAATCATCACCAGCTTCTCCCTGCCTAACAACTGTAGAGCCTGACTCGAAGGACACGGGCTCAAGTGCGTCAGCCACCACTAAGCGCTCCCATTTGTCCAATGATTCTGAAGGAAAAATATTTTTATGCAATAAATTTTTTGTACCTGTACTATAATAAAATCTGCTGAGCATTCTGCAAGTTTAAACATGGATTTAATACACAAATAACCCACACATAGGAGAGAGAAAAGCTAATGAACCAACACTAGGAATGAAAACATTTAAAAGCAGATCATCTTACATTACCTTACTTACTTTTATCGCTTACAGTGACATGGGAAGTGTAAAATGAACTCGGCGAAAAATAGGCAAGCCACGACTAATCAGCCTCCTGCCAGTAGGTATCAGAAAAATTGAAAGAACAACCATGGAAGTTTTCACAAGGAAACTGGATTACTACCCTGCAGAGTGCCTGATAAACCAGGCTGTGACAGTATGTCAGCCAATGGACCACCAAAAGCCACAGCCTGGTTGCCCAGGCAATCAACAAACACACAAAAAAAGGATAAACAATAAAAACTACTAGTATGAATAAAACAATTAAATACTATTATGCCAAGTTTAAATAATCCACTTTAGTTAAAATCCCATTAAATTTCTTACATTAAAAGATTCTCCTAAAAGTTTCCCCCAATCTCAACAGGCAACCTAGTAATTATTAAGTCCATGATAAGAGAGGAAAGACCCAAGCTGTGGGCTAGGAGTAAAAATACATTCCAGTCAACCTTATGCCACAAGAACTGACTATTGGCAAGAAGTGTGTGCTTGATCTTCAAATAACAGATTAGTCTCAAAAGTAATAATTCCTGTTGAAGGATGGCCAAACAATCTACATCCTGCGGAACCCTACATAACTTGCTTCTCATCTGTTGAGTTTACTGGATCACTACCTATTACAGGTAGTAGGCTGGAAGACAGCAATCACCAAGGAGGTACAACCGTCCTGTCATATGGATGAGAAACAGAAACTTAACTGTTCTACATAATGGTAGGATTGCTGGTGTCTGTTCTTTCTAACTCAAATACACAAGAAAACAGGTACATCATGCAACTTCTACTTACATTTAGGTCACACTAAACATTCATAAACACCTATATGTATACATACCTAGGCATATGTATACACACCTTCACATCTAGGCTAGAATATTGCTGCACACTAACAACACCTTTCAAGGCAGGTGAAATTGCTGACCTGGAGAACATACAGAGAAACTTCATGGCACGCAAAACTGTGATAAAACACCTCAATTGCTGGGAACGTTTGAAGTTCCTCAACCTGTACTCCCTAGAATGCAGGCGAGAGAGATACATGATTATATACACTTGGAAAATCCTAAAGGGATTAGTACCAAACTTGCACACAAAAATCACTCCCTATGAAAGCAAATGACTCGGTAAATGATGCAACATCCCCCCCAATGAAAAGCAGGGGTGCCCCTAGCAAGATAAGAGACAACACAGTAAGTGTCAGGGACCCAAGACTGTTCAACTGCCTCCCAGCATACATAAGGGGGATTATAAATAGATCCCTGGCTGTCTTCAAGCAGGCACTGGACAGGCACCTACGTCAGTACCTGACCAGCTGGGCTGTGGTTTGTACATTAGATTCCGTGTGGCCAGCAGTAACAGCCTGGTTGATCAGGCCCTGATCCACCATGAGGCCTGGTCACAGACAGGGCCACAGGGGCGTTGACCCCCAGAACTCTCTCCAGGTATACACCCTTCTGAGTTTTCTTCTATTTTCTTAATAGTTTTTGTTCTTATTTCCTTTCATCTCCAAGGGTAAGAATCTTTCCTCCGTAATCCATGCGTTGCAAAAAGCGACTAGAATGACATAAGAACATAAGAAAGGAGGAACACTGCAGCAGGCCTACAAGTCTATGCGAAACAGTTCCAATTCTCCCCACCGGCTTAAGCCAATGCCTTGACCTAGTGAGGTCAGACACGTCACTAAAGGGAGGAGCACTGCGTCCGACCTAGTAGCTAGTCAGGTCCATTTCACACCCACCCACACCCACTCGCAAGAACATAAGAAAGAAGGAACACTGCAACAGGCCTACTGACCTATGCAAAGCAGGTCCTTCCCCCCCCCCCCCCCGGATTAACTCAATGACCCACCTAGTCAGGTCACTTCCACTTAAGGAAGGAGCATGGCATCAGACCTAGTAGCACAAGCTAGTCAGGTCCAACTCGCACCCACCCACACCCACTCATGTATTTATCTAACTTATTTTTAAAACTACACAATGTTTTAGCCTCTATAACTGTACTGGGGAGTTTGTTCCACTCATCCACAACTCTATTACCAAACCAGTGCTTTCCTATATCCTTCCTGAATCTGAACTTTTCCAACTCGAAACCATTGCTGAGAGTCCTGTCTTGACCGGAAATTTTCAGCACGCTATTAACAACCCCTTTATTTATTCCTGTTTTCCATTCATATACCTCGATCATATCCCCCCTAATTCTACACCTTTCGAGAGAGTGCAGATTCAGGGCCCTCAGTCTGTCCTCATAGAGAAGATTTCTGATATATGGGATCAACTTTGTCATCCTCCTCTGTACGTTTTCCGGTGCATTTATATCCATTCTGTCATACGGTAACCAGAACTATGCAGCATAATCTAAATGAGGCCTAACCAAGGATATATAAAGTTGAAGAACAACCTGAGGACTTCTGTTATTTATACTTCTAGATATGAAACCAAGGATTCTGTTAGCTTTATTGCAAACACTAATGCAATGTTGTCTTGGTTTTAGATTACTGCTAACTAGAACTCCTAAATCCTTTTCGCAATTCAAAGTTTATTCTCTATAAAGATTACAATGTTGAATTTACAGAATTTGGTTGTTGTGTGGTTTACATGTAGTTAAATAATGATTACAGAGTGTACCACTAGAACGCCTAGCATGGCTAGGCATTTTGGGCAGACTTAGTTTAATTCTTTAGTTTAAAATATTACAAATTATGAGGTAAGTTGGTATTATGGCTAAGTGACTAAATACTAGTTTGTGAGTTTAGCAATGTGAATGCTTTTGTTTTGGTACAGTACATAGTTTCAGTATTGGAGTATCATAAGATTCATTATTTTAAGATTGAGATTAATATTTCTGTTTATGGTCAAATGGGTGAGTGAGTGTAAGTGTGAACCACCAGGTGGTATTCGTGTAGTTAGTTGATGGGGTTTATCAGGGAGATAAGATGTTTTCTAATGGTAGTTTTGAAGGTGATGAATGTGTCTGCAGTTCTAGAGTTCTCAGGTAGGATGTTCCAGATTTTAGGGCCTTTGACATACATTGAATTTTTGTAAAGGTTTAGTCGGACATGGGGAATGTCATAGAGATGTTTGTGTCTGGTGTTATGCCTGTGGGTTCTGTCACAACTATCAAGAAAGCATTTTAGGTCAAGGTTGATATTGGAGTTTAAGGTCCTGTAGATGTAGATTGCACAGTAGTAAGTGTGGATGTACTGAACAGGGAGTAAGTTTAGATCTATGAAGAGTGGGGGGGTGTCTTGCCAGGGATGGGATTTAGTGATTATTCTTACTGCAGCTTTTTGTTGGGTTATTATTGGCTTTAGGTGTGTTACTGCAGTTGATCCCCAAGCACAAATAGCATAGGTGAGGTATGGATAAATAAGTGAGTGGTATAGTGTGAGAAGGGCACTTTGCGGCACGTAGTATCGTATCTTGCAGAGGATCCCAACTGTTTTGGATACTTTTTTGGTTATGTGTTGGATATGGGTGCTGAAATTCAGGTTGTTGTCAAGGTATAGGCCTAGGAATTTGCCCTCATTATGTCTGGTAATTAGAGTGTTGTTGATCTTAATGTTAGTTTGTGCATCTCCTGCTCTGCTACCAAACATAATATAGTAGGTTTTGTCAGTGTTAAGCGTAAGTTTATTGGCTGTCATCCAAGTCGATATTTTGATCAGCTCCTCGTTAACAATGGTGTTGAGAGTGGCAAGATTAGGGTGAGAGATGACATAAGTCGTGTCGTCAGCAAAGAGAATGGGTTTCAGGTGTTGGGATACATTTGGAAGATCATTGATGTATATGAGGAAGAGCAGGGGACCAAGGACACTTCCCTGCGGAACTCCAGTATCAAGTGGCCGTGTTGTTGATGCTGTGTCTTTAATAGTAACATACTGATACCTATTAGTAAGGTAAGATTTGAAATAAGCAAGCGCATGGCCTCTTATACCGTAATGGTCAAGTTTGTGGAGTAGGATGTCGTGGTCTACTGTGTCAAAAGCTTTTCTTAGGTCAATAAAAATTCCTAGTGGATATTCCTTATTTTCCAATGCTGTGTAAAGCAGATCTAGCATTTTTATGATTGCATCATTAGTGCTTTTATTTTTCCTAAATCCAAATTGGCAGGGGTTGAGTATGTTTTGTGCTGTTATAAATGAATACAGTCTCCTGTGCACGAGTTTCTCAAAGATTTTGGATAGCAATGGTAAGTTTGATATTGGCCTATAGTTGTTTAAGTCTGTAGGGTCACCACCTTTATGTATTGGTGTAACCCTTGCCATCTTGAGTAGTTTCAGGAAGGTGCTAGTTTCTAGTGACTTGTTAAAAAGTAATGAAATAGCATGCGAAAGGATATGGGCCGTTCGCTTGTACAGTAATGGTGGGACATTAGACAGATTCCCTGAGTTGTTTTTAAGTGACTTTATAATCTCGGTGACTTCCGAGGGCTCAGTTGGTGCAAGATAGAAGGAATTTGGGAAATTCCCATCTAGGTAGTCCCCGGCATGGGCATTAGTATGTGGGATTTTATTGGCGAGATTAGATCCTATGGTTGAGAAGAAGTCGTTTATCTTGTTAGCTGTGTCAGTGGGATGTAGTGAATCAGTAGTATTAAGATCTACATTATTTAGTTTATATGTGGCATGGTTATTTTCCTGTCCAACATTTAGAATTTTGCATTTGTCTATATTAAACTGCATTTGCCACTTCTCCAACCATTGCATCAGTCTATTCAAATCATACTGGAGTGCTCTAGTGTTCTCATTAGAATGAATTGGATGGCCTAATTTGGTGTCATCAGCAAATTTGCT